TGTTACAGTGGGAGATCCTGATGTGAATGAGCTGCCCTGACAAGACATTATCTTCAAGTGAGCACTCATGCTCCCACTACACATTACGAGCACACATACTCCCTTCTTAAGCAGAATTAGCATGGAGTAAACATGGAGTAAGCACTGCCGTTATCCCAGACGCCAAGGGATTGAAACAGTAAAACAGGCACGGGATAAAGAGTGGAGGGCAGGTATAACCAGCGCCCCACAGGAGCCACAGTCATGGCCACAACTCCATGAAAGTAGGAGCTGTGCAAATACGTGGTGGTGGCGGTGGTGCTGTCGAGATGCTCAAGCTTTTTACGATCTGAGGCAAAATGCACAAGGCACAGAAAAGCAGTACTGGCCAGGATGACACACACATGGTTCCAAGCCAAAATGAGCTTAACTGTTGTCAAGATATTATTTTATTTTAAATCTCACATAGGAAGTTCTTCCAATGCTATCTAGAAGTCTACACTTAGCACCTTCACAATGACTTACCAGCATTTCTTCAAAACACTTTGTTAGCTTTCTACTTCAGACTACCAATCCATGCAAAACCACTAAAACCCGGTATTTTAGTCCAGCAAAAGAAATTCATTGTGCTGCTTCTACCAACCAAAAGACACAAAACATGCATCATTGAGCAAATCATTCTGCATTATCCCCGTTTCACAAGGAAAACCTGCAAGGGATGTTAAGTATGGTCACCAACAGAGGAAAAGTCAGGGTCAGTCCTGGAACTCTAACTCCGAAGTCTCCAATTCCCAGTCCCATGTCTAATGCTGTCTAACCACACCCTTTCAGGGGACAGGTAATGGATACCTTTAGGGTGATGACTACAGGTGGCTATAATTTAAAAGCCTACTCCTCTGAAACCTTATCTGAAATCCTGCAGGACACATCAATATCAATACATCTTCTATGGCAAAACAAAAACAACACCTATAAAGAAAGTGTGAAGAAACTAGGTTTCTTTAGTCTACAAAGCAGAGGTCTCAGAGAAGCATATGCTATCTTCCAGTATGAAGGACTAGCAAACACTTGTCTTCCTTGACTATTTTGAATTTAAAAAAAGAAAAAAAAAAACAACAAAAAACCTTTCATGAAAGATGAAGGTGAACAAGAAAGTTTGGGTGGAATTTAGTTCAGGGAATTTTTGAAAATAAATGAAACACTATACAAGAAAGTTTGGGTGGAATTTAGTTCTCAGGGAATTTTTGAAAATAAATGAAACACTAGAGATAGTCTTAAGTAAAATATAAAGTCAACTGAGTCTTAAGCAGTTCTCCAGTGCCAACCCTGCATAGGCTCTAAAGTCACTTCCAGGAAATAAAACATTACAGGAAAAACCCTAACTTGATACCTAAGCATTTTGATCAGAAAATTAAGATCTCAACCCAATTCCTTCTGGCAAAAATATTTAGGAAGTGTTGGTTCTATTCCAATGAAAAAACCTTGGCATGAGAGTTGTCATTCCCTAGTATTAATATTCATCGCCATGTAAAATGATAAGGTGACATTTAAAAAAAAAACAAAACAAAACAAAACCAAAAACCACAAACCAACCCATAGTACTGAACTTATATTCAGGTATTGTTCCATTGTTGCAAAAGAAATGCTGTCTAACAAACTTGCTCATGGACTACAGCTCTCCTTACTCAAACCCCTTATCCTAAGAGTTAACTGATCATACTTAATAGTAACTAAGGAAATTTATAGCCTCGCTACTGCTGAAGTAGCAATTCCAATATCCCATGATATAAATGAAACACAGAAACCATTTAAAGTTATTTTTCTCACGTGGAAAATAAACAGTTAAAATGCATTAAATGAAGCAGAATATTCTGTAAAGTCAAATAGCTGGAGTGTGCTGGACTCTTCTTAAATTGCTTGCCTGTTTAAATATGTAAAACTCCTTAAGTTTACTTACAATTAAGACTAATAGCTTGACTAAAGATATAAATTTGCAGTGTTAACAATTCTCAACAACTATAGATTCAGTGTGCAACCTTCCTTCTTGTAAGCTGTGAATGCCCACAGAACATCTTTTTCTTTACCCAGCATATCCCATTTCTCTACTCAGTGTCATAGCTGGACAGGAAATCCAGTGATGACACCACAACGCAGCACACTATTTTGAATTAGTTTTCTCTGTAAGTATTGAGCAAAGTGCAATAACTTCAGGTATTAAATACACTACATAAGGTGAACAGCCTTCCACATTCTCTGTAGAGGTAAAGTAGTAACGGCCAGACAACTTCTTCAGAATTTTATTAAAGCAACAGGTTATCAACTTTATTTTTACTCATCCTTTCCAGTGATAGTTCCTTCTCCTTTCACTTCAAGATCATCTCAGAATTACAGTTCACCTGGACACAAACATCTTCCTTCTTCCAACAGCCTTCCTATTTGTAGCCCCAACAGCAAATCATAAAACAGTCCCCTGTGAAACTGTAGTACGTTACCAGTGCTTTGCATCACAAGATACCATTAGCAGATTTATGAGAAAGTTGTACCAGCAGAAATTTTCCATGTTGAGTTGACCTCAAGCTAAATTGTCACTTAGAAGGGCAAATCCAGTTAAAAAAAAAGTTTAAGTTCTACAGTTTGCCCATGCTAGAGCAACCAAAATCAGAGCGTGCTATAAGCTTCAGCAGTTTTAACTTCACATACATATCCAGAAAGTACCTATACATGATTTACTTGCCTAAACTCCCTTTGTAGTCAGTGGAGTGTATCTGAACGAGGGACCGTGCTCTTCTCCATGCTCCTGAGTCGTTTTATGTTAAAAAAATTAACAAAACAAAATGCTGTATTTTAGCCAAAAAGCCAAACATCTTGAAATGCTCAGTTTGGTTGCATAAGCTTAGCAAAGACTTCCTCAAATTTGAGAATGTAAGCCTATGGATTTCATCTTTTTTAAAAATCTTCACCCACTACCCTGGAGGGGCTTCATTGGATTGCACGTTTGTTACCCTGCATCCAGAGATGTTAAGGCGTTAAGAGGACTTCACTACGCCTAGCAGGTAAAAAGTGTTCTGGTACAGCATGTGCTGGTTTTGGCTGGGATGGTTAATTTTCTTCGCAGTAGCTAGTACCGGGCTGTTTTGGATTTGTGCTGGAAACAGCACTGATAATACAGGGTTGCTTCCGTTGCTGCTGAGCAGGGGTAACACAGAGCCAAGGCTTCTGCTTCTCACCCCACCACCAAGTAGGCTGGGGGTGCACAAGGAAGTTGGGAGGGGACATAGCTGACCCCACCTGACCAAAGGGACATTCCATGCCATATGGCACCATGCTCAGCATATAAAGCTGGGCAAAGAAGGAAGGGGGGGATATTTGGAGTGATGGCGTTTCTTTTCCCAAGTAACCCTTATGCATGATGGAGCCCTGCTCTCCTGGAGATGGAGGATCACCTGCCTGCCAATGGGAAGCAGGGAATGAATTCCTTGTTTTGCCAGCCAAGGAAAAGCAAACCATAGCCAATGCCCGCCATCTCAATTATTTCTCTAGAATGTAGCTGCAAACAACATTATAAAAATATGAAGAATGTAGCCTAATTGTTTTATCCAAAACTCTTGGAAGATGCATCTTCTTAAGACAGGACAAAAGATGAAGTGTGCATTGATGTGCTTCTGTATACAATAGTCTGATATTCAAAATTATTAGCCAAACTCAACTGAGTTTTTCAGTAGTGTCCTTCAACTCCATTTAAAAAGGAATAGTCTTACAAATTACTCTTATAGTGTTAGAAACCTTACTTAATGAAATAAGATCTGCAACAAAGGCTCTTACCTATGGGGCTGAATTTCTCTTAATTTCAACTACATTCAAAAACATCCAAATGGAAAATGGTAACACTCGTACATTGGTGTTAACTTCCCTCCATTTGCAACACTAGCTTGATACAACTGAAGTGCTACTTTAACTCCTTCACTGAGAATTTCATGCACAAGACTGAACGTATGCAAGGTTCATTTCAGCACAAGGATACATATCTTGGTTTTAACCGCTCAGAACATGCGATTCCATCATTAAGTACACCTGAAAATGTTACTACAGGAACCTCTCAAAAACACAAGTCACCCAGACCTAGCCACCAGCCACAGGTGCCCAGCCCCACATATTCACATTCACATCCTACTTATCAGCATAATGGAGCAACTCCTTATGACTCCACTTAGAGGTGCTCTGCAGAAAACATTAGACATATGAAACAACTTGGAGAGAGAAAAGAAAGCAATCTTAAATTCCAGTCTGAATCCCACCTTGTTCCCAAAAAGCAAATTGACAAAAACACAGATTCTGTACATCATCCAGCTACTATGGAAACGAAGACACTGGGCAAGTCAGAGTACTACACTGCTTCTTTGAGCAGTGAGATCCCACAACTACATGGCTACCTTGACTAAGAACTCAACAGAATCAGAAGTACATGACAATACTTCTTGTATAAAGCTAATTCCACCCACAATTTGCTACAGAATTGGGGCAGGATGAGACACACACACCTAACAAAACACATCTTGTGTCCACTAAGTTCCCTGAATAAATTAAGATAGCATTTAAAAATATCCTGCAACATCTCAGAAGACTTGGGTAACGGTTAAGGCCACTCTCCTCATTTGTTTCAGCAGAGGGAGCCAAATTTTCATCACAGATGCAGCATTACTTCAGACTTTCCCTAACAAGTTACTCAGAATCCCTGGGAAAGTACAGGCCTAAGCACTGCCAAGCAGAGGTAGTAATCAACTGGCAGCACTTTTGCAACTGATAAACTGCAAAATTCCCAAAGTTGGTAACCTCTAGGGTAGGAACAGGAAACAGAAATACCCTAGAAGAGCAACGGCAGGGATTCCCATTATCTTTTTAGCAAGCTGACACAGTTAACACACTAATAAACTACACCAAGACCTGCAAAGTCCTTTCATCTTCTGATGTTATCCTGTGTAACTCAGAACTACTCCACAGATGCCCACCCATTAATCACACACACACTAGTCAGGTTCAACATTTATTTTCCACTCATTTCTTGCACTTGAAGTACTCTTCGATGACATCTTTGGCCTGAGATTCCTTGCCATAGTCCTGTAACACAAAATAATCCATTAAACATACAGACCCATTCAAAATTTTACGATCTATTTTTAAAAGGACAACAAATTCTGACACTTTCTCAAGGCATTCCCAAATATTCCCAACATTCCATACGAGTAGCCTCAAGTGATCTGCCAGCTGCTTTCCCTCCATTCTCTAGTGAGACTATTCTAACAAAGGTCTACTATTTCATTCAAGTGTAACCCCGTTGGTACAGATCCAAACAAATTCTTCATTTCTGCTTAAAGAAAGCCAAGTGAAGTACGTGCAACAGTAGCAGAAGCACGAACACACATGCAGAAGGCATTAGTCTTTGTTGTGAAGATGTAGCCATCTCTTGGGACCTCAAAGACAACAAGGTCTTCAAGGCTCGTACTGTGGCTTTACTTTACCAGTGTCATTTTAAAATATGCTCTGCAAAACATTTTCAAGTTGAGCAGACACATAGAACTGGCATTTTTTTTTCCTGAAGCAAAACCTCACCTCTTCTAGTTAAAAGCCCTTTCCTTTAACCCTTACTGCCAAGTGGGCAGATACTTTAAGAACACAACCATTAACTCACGAAATGAATGAGTATTTTAAATAAACATGAAAGGGAACATAGAACAGCAAAGTAGTTTATTTTCACTATCAACAATGTAAAGCAATTGTTTTAAAAAAAAAGTAAAAATGTAATAGTCCCTTATCTAAAGCAACCTTATCTTTACTGCTTATTTTCAGAAATCAAGAAATAAGCTGTAATTAGCATCATCTTACTTTGACAACCACACAACTGCAGCCCACGACTTTGCGAGGTTTTCCTTCTCTGTCGATCTTGCAGAGACCTACCCATTCACCCAGCTTCTTGTTGTCATCAACCTGTGTAAAACGTTGCATCACATCAGAACTAGCCATTTCTAACAGAACCGGGTTCAGCAAAAAGAGCCGCTGTACTCTCAGAAGCATTGGGTAACGGATGGCTGCTTTCCTCACAACGATCAGTAGAGGGAGCCAAAGTATCATCATTGTACAGCTTGTAAGCATTCTAATTCGAAGGAAAATTCATGGTGAGACTCATCCCGTGCTCCACCATCACTTGCATCATTAACTCCACTTCTTATTACAAGACACAAAACCTCATTTTAACTTCACAAAATACCTGATACACATCCTTTGCCATTTACATCCACAGTTTTTGTACTCCTGCTGTGATAACGACACAGAACGAAAACGATCTCTGCTGCTCAGAGAAGTTTTGCTCAGATAAGCCATATACAGAATTACAGCACAGTGTCTCACAGGTTCAGGCTCTCTATATGCTGAAACAAGCAGCTTGTATTGCAAGCGGGGTTACTGTTCCAAACTTGCGTCTGAAGTTCCAACACTCACCTTTATTAAGTTGATCTGATGTTCTGCACAAAGTGCTTCAACTAATTTTACGTATGTGGGTTCATCACAATTTGAAGCCAGAACACAAAGGTGGGCTTGGCGTCTAAAAAACATGAAAACTGACAAATGTGACTTCAGACACTGCTTATACTTTCTTTAAAATCAAAACCACATACAACAAAATCCAGCATGTGCATTTCTAGACAACGGCTTCCTAGGTTTAATTTTTGGTTTTGAAACACCATATGCTTTTAAAATACTAAATATGGCTTTGATATGATCTGCTACTTTTTATGGTTTTCATATACATAATAGACTACTCATACATTGTTAGCTTTATTAGCAGATTCCATTCCAGTTTGGGAAGCTTCTAAAAAAATCCCACTAAATAAATTCTTGGCCATTGGAAAAAGGTGTAAAGACTGCACAAACACCAGGTCCCATAAAGAACTGGTGTCACTGCTAGAAAGCAACAAAGCTACTAGCTGTTTTTTCTTGTTTACCACAGATCACAGCAATTTAACATGAGAATTGTAACTATTAAAAGCTTGAATTTCCACATCAAGTTGTTATAAGCTATTCAGAACAATCTTTTCTACTCACATTCAAAGAACCTGTTATGACAGGGCCCCAATTCTAATGAGGAACTTTGTGTGCTGTGGTACAATGCTAAAAATACCAAAGGGATTACCTGACAGCCAAGAGAGCTGTACAGCTCTTCTATGCTCAACCCCATGGCATCTGACCACCGCAAAGACACTTTTCTCTACGGCTGCCTTCATCACAAGTTTCACCAGAATGTTTCAGGAATACTTCCAAGCAAGAACCGCATATAAGCCTTGTACATACATGATCCTCAACACACGGCATAGGAAGTTGTAGCTGAGCTCAAAAGAACTCTTACAAACTAGCTGCCAGTCACCTAAGTTGTATTTCTCTTCCATTATTTGGTGCCTTGTCTCAGAGCTTTTCGCATACAGGTTTGTCAGACTGCTGCTTTCACTCACAGGGCGAGTGAAGGGGTATCCGACAAATTGTTAAAATCATCACCCAAACACTGTAGCGTTACACTTAAGCACCACTTACTCTTAGAAGTACATGCCTATAGACACACAGAGGTGTGCATGTATGTGTGTATACCTACCAGGAAACCATAGCTAATTACCATGGTTGGCACATGCGTGACAAGTTTAATGTTGTTTTGATATTGTATCAAACCCATTATTTACAGCTGCAACACTAAAAATGAAGCAGGCAAAAAAGTAAAGGCAAGCTACGAATTTCAGTTTTTCTTCATAAAAACTAAAACAACTCTTCCAGGTTAAGTCTGTCATGCATATTAACACCCCCCCCCCAATTACTAAGTTTTGAGAAGAGTTTATCATTTCTTAAAACACAAGGTTCTGGAGCCCCAGATTTCCATAGCGAAGTAGCACAAGCACCATGTCATTTTCTTCACAAGACCAATCCATGTGAAAACTCAATGGCACTGTGGTCACAAAAAACCAGAACCTAATACATTAGACGCTGTTATTCTTGAACTACTGAGTTTAGCATCTGCATGTTGGGGTTGTTCAGCCTGGAGAAGACAAGGCTCCAGGGAGACCTTACAGCAGCCTTCCAGTGCTTAAAGGGGGCCCACAGGAAAGGTGGGGAGGGACTCTTGATCAGGGAGTGTGGTGATAGGACAAGGGGTAACGGTTTCAAACTGAAAGAGGGGAGATTTAGATTAGGTATTAGGAAGAAGTTCTTCACTGTGAGGGGGCTGAGACACTGGAACAGGCTGCCCAGAGAAGCTGTGGCTGCCCCCTCCCTGGCAGTGTTCAAGGCCAGGCTGGACGGGGCTTTGAGCAACCTGGTCTAGTGGAAGGTGTTCCTGCCCATGGCAGGGGGGTTGGAACTGGATTGTCTTTAAGGTCCCTTCCAACCCAAACCATTCTATGATTCTATGTTAAGATCACAGTGAAAGACCCCAAAACACAGACAGCAAAAGACAAAACCCACTGGCAAAAAAACTTGTTCTTGCAAAAGCTTTCAACTAAACACGTGGACAAAGAGACCACTGTTGAACGCATACCTCACCCAGCTTTGCCGTACACTGTAAACACAACAGGGAAACAACACTTACTTGTCCAAGGCTTTGGCTGCTTCACGAATGCCACGAGCCAGGCCGTCATGGATAAGTGCGGTCTTCAGCACTTCTTGCAGAGCGGTGTTGACATCCATTACACCTCCAGCAGTAATGCTAAAGACAAACATTGCCCTGATCGTGCCAACATCTTACAACTACAAGCAAAGGCTTCCCGTTCGCCTGCAAGCGCCCCATAGTTAAAAAAACGTACAGAAGCAAAGCAAGCTAAAGAACCGAGCCAAGGCAGAAAATGTCTGAAGACGAACTGAACGAAACAAAGAGATCCAAACTCCCCGGCCACCCGGCCCGCCGCGCT